TATCTTTATCTTTATCTTTATCTTTATCTTTATCTTTATCTTTATCTTTATCTTTATCTTTATCTTTATCTTTATCTCGTCGCTCGTTCTCTTCTAGAATTTTTTTCGCTTTCTCTATTCGAGCAACTAAATCTTCATATGCAAAACCGAAATTCCCAAGGTCATTTTTGTTGTCAAAATTTTCATCTCCTAATATTTCTTTTACTTTTGTTAAAAAATCATATGTTTGTCGAACATAATTGCTATCTTCCAATTCCATACAACTATATAATTTGTTGCGATACTCTTTGTTTTCGTTCCAACCTTTTATTTTATCCATTCTTGCCTCTAGTTCTGATTCGCTTGCTGGATTATTGGGGTCACAATAACCATCCCCTCGCACTTGTTCTTTACACTTCAGAATGATTTCAGCTTTTCACTCATTAAATGTTTTTCCTCCAAGTTCGGAATATTTTTGGTCTTTTAACACAATCATATTTTCAAAAATGGATGGGGTAAGGGATAGGGCAAGAAGATTTTTCTTTGAGACATAAAAAATTACCAAAATCATAATCTCTTCAGCCTGCTTTTTTTGTTCGGGGGTAGAAATAACATCAACAGAATTTATAGCCAAAAATGCATCCTTTATTTCCTTGCTTCACTTGTCGAATTGCGACTGAATAATTTTCGTCATATCTATTTTTTAAATATCTCCTTTACACCCCAACCAAAAGCACCTGCTATCCCACCAACAACAGCACCAGCGGCAGTACCCAATCCTGGCACTCCCGAACCTCCAATTGCTCCCGTTGTTGCACCTGCGGCCACGGTTTCAATAAATCCAGTTCCTTCTTCTTTTTTACTTGCTACTTGTGGAGAAATTTGTTGTTGATTTTGCTGATTTTTAAGTTCTTGCATTCTTGCCTCATGTGTTCTTTGTGCATTATTATCAATATTTTCTAATTCTTTTATTCTTACCGCCAATTTACCATCATTATCATTACTTTTATCATTCGAGTTCAACCTTTCCAAAGCAGAAGTTATTTTATCTTCGGAAGAACTATTTTTTCCCTGATACTCTTTCAGCAATTTTTCATTAGCCTCTCGGTCTAGTTTGTTTTGTTCTTGAATTAATTTTATTTGTTTTTCGCTAGTTTCTATTATTTGTTGCGTTACTTGTCTATGAGTATCTTTTAAATCTTTAATTTCTTCCTTGTTTGTTCGCTTAAGGTCATCCATGTCCTTTTTATGCTCATCTCGCATTTTACTAGTAGTTTCTTGTAATTCTTTTCTACTTTTTTCTTCTACATTACGAATAGCTTCTTTATTTTTATCTTCCATTTCTTTTAACTTTTCAGTTTGTTGCTTTTTGAGTTCAGCCACTTCTTGACGGTATTTTTCTGTTTCCTCTACACGTTTTTTTTCAAGTTCTTCCATTTTCTTTTGGAGTTTTTCCTCATTAGTCATGTAATCACGCACTCTTTCATCTAATTCATCAATATTACTCGGTCGATAATTACCCTCACAAGTCGCTAAGTAAATTAACAATCTTTTTCGTGATTCTTCACGGGCTTCTTTGTTAAGAGTGATTTGATCCTTTATTCTTTTCCCACTACCAGCAATATTTATTGGAGGGTTATCCAAATAAATAATTTCAACCGAGCGAATTATATGAGCTAAATCTGCGTTTTCCTCTTTTAGAGCTTTCTTGTCTTCATTACAAATTTTATCTTCTTCGAATTCCGGAAAACCTGTTCGCACAATTGTCGTGTATTTAAGAACATCCTTATCAAAAATAACAGAACTCAATAAATCATAAGCTTCAATCTCCTCCTTGGAAAATCTGCCTCTTGTTGCAAAAAGTATCTGATTTAAACCTTCTTTTTTTACCCGACCAGCTATCGTCGCTAGACTCATCAACACTCCTTGGGGGGTCAATGTGGTATCACCTATTCCTATGGTATCAATTGCTCGATATGTTATTTTTTTACTGCCATCTCTATTTATGAAAACTTCAAAAATTTCTTCTTTAATTTCCTTAGTTACGCTAATGGATTTTCCTTTTTCCTCAAACACCTCCTCAAAATTATCATTTTTATTAACCATCACATTTGCTAGCGATGATTTTCCGCTTCCTGTGCGACCTATTAATATTATATTTCTTATTTCTGTCATATTTTTAAATATTTTCTTTGTTTTTTCTATATAAATTTAGCTGTCTTTGACAGAACACTTTCTATATAAAAATTTTTTATATATTTGAATTCTTTTTGATTTTGTCTAAATAGCGCCATGGAAAAACAAGCACAAATAAAAAATCAATTTATAGCATGGAACTCTCGCAGGAAGATTTAAGAAGAAAAAAACTGACTGATTTATCGCAAAATCCCTTTCAACAAGCCAAATTCATTAGAACTAATAACATTGGAGAAATTATTCAATTATTTTCTCAATTTAGTAAGGAAGAATTAGCAGAAAAAAAGGAAAAAGTGAGCGTTGCGGGGAGAATATTAAGAATAAGGAGTTTTGGTAATTTGGCTTTCGCTAATTTAGTCGACCAAACTGGAATTATCCAATTAAAAGTTAGTAAGAATAAGGATTTTACCGAGTTGGATATTGGCGATATTATTGGAGCAAAAGGATCTGTTTGCAAGACTGATAAAGGCGAGTTGAGTGTTGAAGTTAAAGAATTTATTTTGTTAAGTAAATGTTTAAAGCCACTTCCGGATATTCATTATGGATTTAATGATATTGAAGAAAGATTTCGCAAACGCTATTTAGATTTTATTATTAATTCTGAAAAAAGAGAAATCCTGGTCATTCGCCACAAAATAGTTAAAAATATTCGCCAGTTTTTAGACCAAAGGGAGTTTATTGAAATTGAAACGCCCATCTTAGTTTCGGAAGCCTCCGGAGCCCAGGCCAAACCTTTTATTACCCACCATAACAAATTACACCGTGATTTTTACCTACGAATCGCCACGGAAATTCCTCTAAAAAAGCTGCTAGTTGGCGGTTTTGAAAAAATTTATGAAATTGGAAGGATTTTTCGTAATGAGGGAATAGATGCTCGACACAATCCTGAATTTACCACCATTGAAGTTTATCAGGCTTATGAGAACTCTGAATATATGATGAACTTAACTGAAGAGGTATTTCATTATTTAGTCAATAAGGTCCTTAAAAAAGAGGAGATTGAGTTTAATTCCCATGTCATTAATCTTAAAAACTCCTTTCACAAATTATCAATGATAGAAGCAATTAAAGAATATACTAACATAGATTTTTGCCAAATAATTAATTTAGAAGAAGCCTTAGAATTAACCAAAAAACATAATTTAAGATTGGAAAAATTTCAAAAAAGTATTGGGCATGTTATTTTGGCCTTTTTTGAAGAATATGTCGAAAAAAAATTAATTCAACCGACTTTTATTTATGATTATCCAATCGAAGTTTCACCATTAGCCAAAAGTAAAATTGATAATCAAAATATTGCGGATAGATTTGAATTATATATTGGTGGATTAGAATTTGCTAATGGTTATAGCGAGTTAAACGACCCCATTGAGCAAAAAAAAAGATTTGAGGAGCAAACTAAACAAAAAGAGTTAGGTAATGAAGAAATTGCTAGTTTTGATAAGGAATTTATTGAAACCCTAGAGTATGGCATGCCACCGGCCGGCGGATTAGGGATTGGGATAGATAGGTTAATAATGCTATTTACTAGTCAAAATAGTATTAAGGAAGTAATTGCTTTTCCGCAGTTGAAAAGTAAAGAAAAACTTTAAAATTAATTTGTTTAATTATGCAGCAAAACTTTAAACTGTTATATAGAACAGGAAAAACCGAAAAATGGTTCTCAAAGTTAGAACCAGTCAACAAATCTGGAAAAGAAGATGAAATTCAAAAATTTTTTGAAGAAAACTTAACGAAAATATTTCCTAAACTTAAACTATTTGTTTTTGAAAAAAATGGGAAAAAGACAACTAAATATAATTTTAAAGGAGGGCAATTAGATGCCATTGGTTGAAATCCTCACGGACGTTTTTTTGTTATTTTTGAATACAAAAGCCAAAACTTGCCTCTAATAGTAGAACAAATCGTTAGGTATTTAGACATATTTTCTGATGAGAATGGAGAAGTTTGCCGTGATTTACTTAATGACTTTTTAAATAAAAAATTTCCTAAAAGTGAAGGAGTAATATGAAAACATAAAGAAATTGAATGAAAAATGTTGAAACTTGTTTGAATTGCTCCAAACCTCCCTTATAAACAAAATTGAATACCGAGAACCACCTGAGTGGAGAGTGAGTGATATGAGGACAATGACGAAAAAGCGGTTAAGTTATGAAGTGAAGATGAAGAAACTTTGTTAAAACAATTGTCCAATGAAGAAAAGGAAAGGGAAAAGCCAAAAGAAGTTAAAATTACAAAAAAGGAAATAGAGAATTTATCTCAACTTTTAGAAGAAATTAAGCCCTCAAAAGAAGTAGAACAATGAAGCGAAGAAATTCACAAAATTGCTGTGGAAGAATTTTCTTTAAACCTCGAAATTCATCCTAACCCAAGATGGAGATGATTATTTTATAAAAAAAGTAAGCAAACTCTCTTCTGGATTTTTATGAGCAAAAAGAAACTTACAATATATTTTTCTAATGCAGATAACAATAAATTTTTAGTAGAGAGACATGCATTGCAAAAAACCTCAACAATTTTTAAATGAGTGGTTAATAGTGAAGAAAGTTTTGCAAAGGCTCTTTTAATATTAAGAGATTTTTGGCAACAACAAATTAAAGTGTAAAAAATTAGAAAACCATGGAAGTGACTATCACTATAGACCTTAAGTCAAAAAAAAGCAAGCAAGAGGTATTAGTTGTTCTCTTTTAAGTGCTAGTTGAATTATCAAGAGCCATTGAGAAGCACAAGATTTCGCCTAAAATAATGACATCACTAAAAATGAATAGAGAAAATGAAAATTCATTCATCTCCGACCCCAATTTTTTCATGGTTAGCGCTGATGAATTAGCCCCTAAATTACTAGGCAAAACTCTAGTTCGAAATATTAACGGCCAACTTATTAAAGTTAAGATTGTTGAAACCGAAGCCTATATCGGAAAAATTGACCGAGCCTGCCACGCACATCAAGAAAATAGATCGAAATGAAAGTCTGCTGCCTTGTATAATCGGGGCGGTTGTGCTTATGTTTATCTTATTTATAGCATGTATTATTGTTTTAATATTGCTTCCTCGCTAGAAGGAGACCCCCAAGGAGTATTAATCCGAGCCGCTGAGCCACTTGACCATCATACTATTCCGGTTAGTTCTCTTTACGATGAAAGAAAAAAATATCACTACTATACTAATGGACCCGGCAAATTATGTCGAGCCCTAAACATTGATATAAGTCTTAATAATGTTGATTTAACCACCAGTGATTTAATTTATTTAGAAGACCAACCAGAACTTAGCCCAGACAAAATTATTGCTACTACAAGAGTTAACATTGATTATGCGGGAGATGATAAAGACCGCTTATGAAGATTTTATATTAAAGATAATCCTTTTGTTTCGAGGAAGTAACATCCTAAAAAGAGCATCAATCACGAGATTTTTCAAATTTTCACTGAAAGATTAATTTCCAAAAAATAATTTAAGCATGGAAGCCTCTTTTCTCCCCCACCTCAATACTCAAACTAATTCCAATCTCTCCTTCTCTTTTTTGACAATTCCCCAACTAATCGATTGAGCCGTTAATAATAAATTAACTTATTTAGCAATTGCTGATTATTATCCTTATGAGATTATGGAATTTTTTAATTCCTGCAAAGCCAAAAAAATTAAACCAATTTGGGGAGTAAAGATTTTTTTACAAGAAAATCCCCAAGCAAAAAAATACTCGGCCACTATTTATCCCCAAAACAATAAGGGATACAAGGAAGTTCTGCAAAAACTATTTTCTCCAGACACTTCTAATGACCGAATTTTTTCCTTCGATTACACTCTTTCTAACCTGAGCAAAAATTGTCTGATTATCTTTGAAACCCAAAAGTTGGAAGAAATGAAATACTTTGCGGCGCAGTGAATTTTAACGCGTTCTCCCAAAAAAGAAGTAAACTACGACAATCTTTTCATCGGATTTAATTTTTTTCTCCTTTCTCCTACCCAAACTATTCCACAAAATATCATTCCTCTTCTTCTTCCCTTTTTTTCGATAAAATGCTTAACTTCCGAAGAAACGAAACTATTAGGTCTATGAAGAAAAACCAGTTTTAATCGTTATTTTTTTCCAACTGATGCTCAGGGTGAATTCTTCTCCTATTTGAATACTGATGACTACTTTTCACACTGCACTGATGACAAAACTTTTTATCAACTATTACTTATTCAATGACAAACTTTTTTGGCAAAAATTAGTCTCAACCCTTCCTTTCGTGGTGAAAAAACAAGCCGAGCCAAGAAAGAAAATCCTCTGCTGCTCTTAAAAAGTAAATGCTGGCAAAAATTAATATCCCTAAAAAAAGAAAACGCAGAAAATTATCAAAAAACTCTGGAAAAGGAATTAATGGTGATTGAGAAACTTAACTATGCTGATTATTTTTTAGTGTTTAGCGATGTAAACAATCATTTAAAAAAAGAAAATATTATTGTGGGACCAGGACGGGGGAGTGCGGTTTCTTCCTTGGTAGCCTATTTGCTAGGGATAACCAGCGTTGACCCGTTGGAACATAAATTATTCTTTGAAAGATTTCTTAACGAGAAAAGAAAGAATTTGCCGGATATTGATTTAGATGTGGAAAATCAAGAAGAAGTATTCAATTACTTGCAAAAAAAGTATCCAAAAAGGCAGGTAGCTCGCATTATCACCAAAAAAAAAATTGGTTGGAAAGTTGCCCTGCGGGAAACCGCCAAATTATACAAAGTAGGAGAAATAAGATTAAAAGAAATTACTTCCCTAACTGGAGAAAATCCTAATTTTAATGACCTAAAATTACAACGCTGGCAAGTTAGTTACCCTAATTTGTTCCAGTTAACCGGTAAAATTCAGAATTTATATTATGATACTGGCATCCATCCGGCCGGAGTTATCATTAGTGAAAGTTCGTTAACCGGTTCAGTGCCTTTGAAGTCAGAAAAAGATTGTTTATTGACACTCTTCGAAGAGGATAAATTAGCTCAATTAGGACTAAAAAAATATGATTTTTTGAGTTTGCGGGAAACACTTGGCTTTATTCGCGAGGCAAGGGAAATTCTAAAAGTTAATTTGCCTGATTATCAGGAAATAAACCTAACTGACCAGAAAACTTGAGAATTGTTGGAAAACTTTCTTTTGACTGGTATTTTTCAATTAGATACTCCCTCGGCTCGAATTCTTTTTAATAGGTTTTGTCCGCAAAATTTTACTGAATTAGTACTTTTTCTCGCCCTTAATCGTCCCGGCACCAAAAAAAAAGTCGAAGAAATCTCTCAAAAAAAAATTACCAAAGGCAAAATCGTCTTTACTTCATCAGTAATTAAGGAAATATTGACTGAGAGTTATGGTCATATTATATTCGAAGAACAAATAAGCCAAATTTTTGTCCATGTCTATGATTGCTCATTTGCCGAAGCCGAAATAAAAAGAAGAGAATTGACTAAAAAAGGGCTAGAAAAAGATTTTCTTAACCAAGCCCAAAAGGTAATGACCTTATTGGAAAGCAAATTGATTTATCAACAAATTAACTCCTCCCTCGGCTACACTTTCAACAAAGCACATGCGGTCGCTTACAGTTATTTAACTTATTATATTGCTCATTTAAAAGCCAATTTCTTTCCCGAATTAATTACCTATTTTCTTAACAAGAGAAAAGAAAGGGAGTTGGCTTATCTCCAAGAAGCCTTTTTTTATGGATTTCAAATCAAAGGACCAGACATTAACTACTCAGAAGTAGAATGAGTTAGAAGGAATCAAGAATTACTTATGGGATTTAGCAATTTAAAAGAATATAAAGTTGAGTTCTTTCAAGGCATAATCGAAGAAAGAAAAAGAGGAGGAATTTACAAAAACTGGGAAAATTTAATTGACCGAACGATAAGTTATTGAGAAAAGGTGGAAAATAGTTCTTTTGAAGAATGGGTAAAAAGTGGTCTTTTTGGAAGTTTGCGGGCAGACATTAATAGTTTGCTAAATAGGAAAGAGGCAATTTTTCGCTATCTACTAATCAGAAAAAAACTGGCTACAACTAATAATAGTCTGCCATTTTTAGATTTACCAAGCGAAGAATCAGAAACAAATAAAATGACAATTAACCAAAGAGAATTTGAAAGTTTGGGCTTATACATTGGTTATTTTTCTCGCTGAAAAGAACTTGCTCAAAAAAAAGATTATAAAATTTGTTCTCTCTCAGAAGTCTTTCAAAAAATTGCGGAATATGATAATAAAGAAACTTCAATAAGTGTCTACGCGATTATTTATCATCAAGAAAAAAAAGATGAAAATAACTATATCCTTTTACTACAAGATATTAGAAATTCTTTCAAATTGAATGTAAGTGCCGAATTTTATCGAGAAAATAAAGAAAATTTGGTAATTCATAATGAGTTATTATTTACTTTAAAAGTTGGAGTAAAACTGGGAAAAATTAATAATTTAATTTGTGAAAAAATAAGTAGTGTGAGTTTGTCTAATTAGACCTGGATTAATCCTTTTTTTGATAAATACTACAAACAAAGCAATTGCTAATCACATTAGTCCTATTTGAAAAATTCTATAAATTTAAGTTCTCTTCTTTGATTTTCATGGTCGTTTAAAATATTTACATAAAATTTATAGAAGCTAATTTTACAAAAATAATTGCTGGATACAATCTACTTATTCTTCTCTTCTTCCCCAATCCCCAACTTCCTAATCACTTTAGCAGCGGCTTGTTGCTCAGCCTCCTTTTTGCTGCGTCCTTTTCCGCTTTCCCGAAAAGTTCCTAATCCATCGCTAACTTCCATAATAAATAATTGCTGATGTTCAACTCTTAATGATCTTTTTAATTGATAGACAATTTTATTTTTGTGAGCCTGGCAATATTCTTGTAATTGGCTTTTATAATCCCAAACCATATTTTCTTTACCCTCAATCCAAGTAAAAATGGTTAAGTTGAGGAAACGATAAACCATTTTTCCACCCTTCTCTAAATATAATGCTGCTACAAAAGACTCAAATATATCAGCTAATATACTTTCCTTTTCAGCTCCGCGGTTTTTTCTTTCGCCAGTTCCCAGTTGAAGAAACTCCCCTAGACCGATTTCCTTACTTAAATGAGCCAGGGTACTCTCCTGCACCATCAACTGCTTTAATTTACTCATTTGACCTTCAGCATAGTTAGGAAATTTGTGATAAATAAAAAGACTGGTATAAAAATTTAGTATACTATCTCCCAAAAATTCCAATGTTTCATAAGAATGTTGCAAATTATTTTCCGAGTTTTGCTCCGAGTCAACTCTTCTCCTTAGATTTAATTCATTAAGGTAAGAAGTGTGAAGAAAAGCTTGATGAAAGTATTCGTTATCCTTAATGCTTTCAATTATTTTCTTTATTTTTTTCAACTGATAAACCATTTAATTATTTTTTTATTATCTTAACTGATATTGGCTTCGCTAGAATAAGGTGTTCCGACTTGTTTTAAATAGGGGACAAGCAGATAATAATTTCATTTGCTTAAATGACAATTTACCACATAAACAACCTCTTCTTTTTCGCCCTTTTTCCGGTAAACTGTGTAATGAATAGGAGAATGTTTTTTTAACAATTTCAAGCCTCTGTTGCGATCTTCTTCAGTCAAAGAATGGAGACGAAGCAGGACAATTTGGTCACGGGGAAAGATTTGGCTAATCAAGAACGAGGAAAGGAAAATATAAATCATAGTTGCTCATAGCCGCTCATTGTTGGTAACATAACTTAAATATTTGGGGATAATGCTTCTTTTTTCTTCTTTGTCTAGTTCTTTAATTCTTATTTCTAATTCATTGTTTCTCCGTAGTTTTTTGGCTAATTTTTCTCCCAAAGCACTGCCTAATTTTTTTTTCTTTTTTTTCTTCTCTGCTTTTAATTTTATCTTTCTCTCCTTGTCGTTTGCTAAATAATAATCTACTTCTTGGGGATAGTCTTCTAATCGTTGATATCCTATTTTGCCTTTCAGAAGAGAAGTGAGAGGACGATTTTTCTCCCTAATTTCAAAAATTTTTTTAATGTCTTGATTGTTTTTATTCTCCTTTTTTTCTGACTGCTTAGCGGCTTTCATGTCATTCCGCCAGTCTTTTAGGATACCTTCTGTCTTTTTTCCTTTTATTTTGAGTCCTTTTTCTTCTAATTTTTCCCCTTGTTCCTCGATTTCTTTTTGGAGAAGGCTTTCTTTCATTTTGGAATTATCTTCTATCATCATGAAATTAATTAAAGTAACCAAAAAAATAATAATTAGTCCGAAAATCTTCATGAGAGAACTGATCGAAACTTTCTTTTTTCCTTTGCGTGAAGAAAAGTGGGAGGTAAAAATCTCTAAACCACCAGGAGTAGCCTGGGCTTGGAAAATTAGACTGTACCCATAAGTATGAATAATGGCCGCAACAATCGCGATAACTATGTAATAGGGTAGAGTGAAAGATAATTGACTACTAGCACTTAACCCTTGCCAACTGCTGGGGTTAAAACGATTAAAGACATATTCTCTTAGTTTGAGTAATTTAAAGACTTGAGTTCAAACAATCTGGGATAAAACGTAAAAAATTGAGGTGCTTATTATTTCCAATTTTGCCTTGAAAAATGCCCGTAAAGCTAGAATAAAAAGTAAATTAGTTAACAAGCCTAATCCATAGTAAAGAAGGTAATAATTGGCTCAGCCAATATTAGTATGACCAACCGTTAATTTAGAAACAGCCTGCAGCAAACCATTTAGACCGCTATTGTAAAGACCATTTGGGTCAATCAAAAAGTAAAAGGTGAGCGTAGTAAATAAAGCACCAACGAAGACTATTGCTAACTTGCTCAAATACTTCAAGGTTATCTGCTTGCCGGTCGGTTTTTTAATCGGCTTTTCCAGATAAAGCCGCCGGATAAACTCGTTGTACTGTTGTCAAATATTATAAGTGCCTTGGTTTTGTGAGTTATTGTTCTTTACTTCCGTTTTCTTTTGGTTTTTTTTCATCAGATTTTTCTAATTTAGGAGAGGTATATAGGGAGAAATTTGGTTGATAAAAATGTAATTAATATCTTCTTTTTGCAAAGAGTTTTTTTCTAAGAGTATTTCGGCCAGTAAGTTTAACACTCGCCTTTTTTGTCGCAGGATGACCTTAACTTTTTTTCAGCATTGGTTCATTATTTTTTCACGTTCTTTCTCGATTTTTTGCTTGGCTACTTCCGGCAATTCTGGTGGTATTTCTTCACTAGAAAAAAAAGTTTCTTGAGTCGGAACAATCCCCAAATCAGACATCCCATAACGCAAAATTAAATCCCGAACAATGCTCGTTGCTTGTTTAAAATCGCTGTAAGCGCCCACGGTAATATACTCCAGACCAAAAACTAATTCTTCGCTACCTCGACCACCTAAGAAAGACATCACATGAGCCAACATTTGACTTTTGTTAATAAGGTAATCATCATCTTTTTCGCCACGCAAATCAATTCAGGTGTACCCACCGGCCGACCAGCGCGGAATGATGGTGATTTTTTTGACCACTGTTTCGGGCAAACTCAGGCCAACGATGGCATGACCAGCCTCATGATAAGCAACTATTCTCTTTTTAGCAACTGTCAAGGTTTGACTAGTTAAAGAAGGTCCCATTAATACTCGGTCGTGGGCTTCAAAAATCATTTCGTAATCAATAAATTTTTCTCCGCGACGGATACTTAAAATAGAGGCCTCATTAAAGATATTAGTAATTTGGGCTCCGCTCAAACCCTTAGTCATGGCGGCAATTTCTTCCAAATCAACATCATATTTAAGTGGCAGTTTGCGAACACAAAGCCTAATTATCTCTCGTCGTCCTTTTAAATTAGGAGGAGATATGTAAATTTTGCGGTCAAACCGGCCGGGTCGTAACAGAGCACTATCCAAAACATTTAAGGAATTAGTAGCCGCCAAAATAATAATGTTATCGCGGGGATGAAATCCGTCCAGTTCACTTAATAATTGGTTTAAAGTTTGTTCGGCATGACCAGCATTGGCCGAATATCTTTTGCGGCCAATAGCGTCAATTTCATCAATGAAAATAATACATCCTTGGGGATAACTGCGGGCTTGCTTGAAAAGTTCCCGCATCCGCCGGGCTCCCATCCCGACCATCATTTCTTCAAATTCGGAACCAGAACGAAAAAGAAAAGGCATACGACATTCACCAGCCAAAGCTTTGGCCAATAAAGTTTTACCATTGCCGGGTGGGCCAACTAATAAGACACCTTTCGGAACCTTAGCTCCTCGTTGCCAAAAGGACTGCGGATTATGAAAATAGGAAACTACTTCCCCTAATTCCTCCTTGGCTTCCTGCAAACCCCCGACATCTTTAAAGCCAATTCCCGGAATAATAACTTCCTTTCCACTTTTCTTCCAACCGCGAAAAGGATAAGAGATAATGCCAGTAAAATTGGTGCCGAACATCATATCAATAATCCAAAGGGAAGCAATAATAGAAACTATTCAAAATATAACTTGAAGAACATTCATTATTCCTCATTTTTCTTCAGCAAATAGATCGTATTTGATAATTGGTTCGGTTTCAGGAATTTTTACGTTCTTTTTGTTAGGAAATCCTTTAAACTCTATTTTCTTACCTCTTATTTCATGCGCTTCGAGTTCACTAAAAAATTCATAAATAGTTTCCTTTCCGAGCAATCTTTTGAAAAAATTTTTCCCTTCGCCATAAAGACGATAATGCTTGTTTTTCCCAATATAGTATTGGACATATTTAGCCCCTTTTTGTCAATGTATTTGGTCAATCTCTTTTTCCTCCAATCCATAAACTTCTATCGTGCCATCATTTTTTTTTTCCACTGAAAATGGTCTTTTATCCGGTTCAGAGAAGTGTACAAAAAGAAAAAAAACAACCACACCAACGATAAGAAAAATAAGTAACGGACCTCATCAATTTCCTGATTGGGAGGACTTTTTGGTTTTTTTTAGTGGTAATTTTTCTTTCATTATTAGAATATTAATATATTTTAAAGTGAGATAATGGCTTGGCTATTGCCCTTTATTAGACAAAAATTATTTCCCAATTCCATAATTAAGTTAGTTTTTTTGCTTACAAACAATTGTTTATAAACCTCGTCAAGTAGTTTTTTTTTTCTTTTTTGGAGCATTCCGCCAGTAGTTTGATTGATTCAGAAATAAAGCAATCGTAAATATACTTCTACTGAATATTCAATCGTTTTGTCAAGCTTAAGAACAGAAGGAGAAATAATTAGTTGCTTAGCAGCAATTTTGACTAATTTTTTAATTTCTCTCAATCCTCGGTTTTTATTTTT